TACCTCATTAGTTACACCTCTAATGTACTGCATTACTTACAACACGTCTTTAATGCAATACTGTAAGACATCAGAAGAAAACGCTACATAACAATCAACTGAGATATTCCTTTTCCTTTTATGAGTATTAGATTAATATTAATCAAACAGATATTTGATTTGTCAGTTAGCAAAAAAACAAAAATCATAATGCACACTGACTAAGCAACAAGAAACATATACTGTATAACTTTTAGATTAGTCATAAGTTGAACAATAATACAGTGACTTCGGAAAGTATTCAGACCCCTTGACTATTTCCACTTTTGTTACGTTACAGCCTTATTCTAAAATTGATTAAATTACATGATTTCCTCATCGATTTACACAACATACCCCATAGTGACAAAGCATTTTTGCAAATGTATTAAAAATAAAAACAGAAATACCTTATTTACATAAGTATTCAGACCCTTTGCTATGAGACTCGAAAATGAGCTCAGGTGCATCCTGTTTCCATTGATCATCCTTGAGATGTTTCTACAACTTGATTGAAGTCCACCTGTGGTAAATTCAATTGATTGGACATGATTTGGAAAGGCACACACCTGTCTATATAAGGTCCCACAGTTGACAGTGCATGTCAGAGCAAACACCAAGCCATGAGGTCGAAGGAATTGTCAGTAGAGCTCTGAAACAGGATTGTGTCGAGGCACAGATCTGGAGAAGGGTACCAAACTTTATTTGCAGCATTGAAGGTCCTCAAGAACACAGTGGCCTCCATCATTCTTAAATGGAAGAAGTTTGGAACCACCAAGACCTTTCCTAGAGCTGGCTGCCCGGCCAAATTAAGCAATTGGGGGAGAAGGGCCTTGGTCAGGGAGGTGACCAAGAACCTGATGGTCACTCTGACAGAGCTCCATAATTCCTCTGTGGAGATGGAAGAACCTTCCAGAAGGACAACCAGCTCTGCAGCACTCCACCAATCAGGCCTTTATGGTAGAGTGGCCAGACGGAAGCCACTCCTCAGTAAAAGGCACATGACAACCCGCTTGGAGTTTGCCAGAAGGCACCTAAAGGACTCCCAGACAATGCGAAACAAGATTCTCTGGTGTGATGAAACCAAGATTGAACTCTTTCGCCTGAATGCCAAGCATCACGTCTGGAAGAAACCTGGCACCATCCCTACGGTGAAGCATGGTGGTGGCAGCATCATGCTGTGGGGATGTTTTTCAGCGGCAGGACTGGGAGACTAGTCAGGATCGAGGGAAAGATGAGGACAGCGATCCTTGATGAAATCCTGCTCTAGAGCGCTCAGGACCTCAGACTGGGGCGAAGGTTCACCTTCCAACAGGACAATGACCCGAAGCACACTGCCAAGACAACGCAGGAGTGGCTTTGGGACAAGTCTCTGAATGTCCTTGAGTGGCCCAGCCAGAGCCCGGACTTGAACCCAACCGAATATCTCTGGAGAGACCTGGATTTTTTTTTTTTTTTTTTTTTTTTAATCTGTTTTTGCTTTGTCATTATGGGGTATTGTCTAGATTGATGAGTGGGATTTTTTTTAAATCCATTTAAGAATAAGGCTGTAATGTAACAAAGGTCAAGGGGTCTGAATACTTTCCGAATGCACTGTAAATAAAGAGTGCAAAAACACACATGTCCTACACACCTCATCTCATCCCACTGCTGTGCCCCTTTATCATGATTTCTGTTAATTTAGGGCAAAATGGGCTCTCAGATCTCACAACTCAGTAGTCAACTATCAACCTAACACAGAAAGTTAAGAATCCCTCCTAGTCCTTAAAACCTATAGCAATTGCACTTCACGTTTCACCAACGAATGGTTATGACATCACCAACTAATGCCAGGGCTTGGCATTCAGGGCTGCGAGCCATGGAGCCACCATGCTGCATCAGACAGGTGACCGTGCTTCAGCCATGGAGCCACCATGCTGCATCAGACAGGTGACCGTGCTTCAGCCATGGAGCCACCATGCTGCATCAGACAGGTGACCGTGCTTCAGCCATGTACTATATAGGCCCTAAAGGGTATTTTTGTTTTCCAAACAATCAGTGTAAATATCAGATTGTATGGTTGGCTATAATAGGCTTTAAGGTACTTGCCCAGACTGCAAATTAAACATGAAATCACCCATGATTGAAATTCTGCGTGCATAACTCGCCTTCCTGTGATCTTGGCCCAGCCAGTAATTTTCTCATTCGGGCCAGTAGTTTTCACTTGGTTCTGGCCTGGTGTGCCACTGGCAAATTTACCTGAGTGTCAAGCCCTGAATGGTTAGTGGTTGTGACGTCTCCAACGAATGGTTATGGTTTATGATTCTCACACTTCACAGGGGCAATACACATGCGTCTGTACAGAAATACGCCCCCTACAGACAGTAACATATATAAAACAACATTATTGCACATATAATAGAAATATGATATCCTATGAAGTAGTGGATGACTGTAGGTCCTGAACAGCTACAGGTAGTAACCTGTTATTGACAACTATATGGACTACAGTAGTAACGTGGTAGTAATGGACCTGTTATTGACAACTATATGGACTACAGTAGTAACGTGGTAGTAATGGACCTGTTATTGACAACTATATGGACTACAGTAGTAACGTGGTAGTAATGGGCCTGTTATTGACAACTATATGGACTACAGTAGTAACGTGGTAGTAATGGACCTGTTATTGACAACTATATGGACTACAGTAGTAACGTGGTAGTAATGGACCTGTTATTGACAACTATATGGACTACAGTAGTAACGTGGTAGTAATGGGCCTGTTATTGACAACTATATGGACTACAGTAGTAACGTGGTAGTAATGGACCTGTTATTGATAACTATATGGACTACAGTAGTAACGTGGTAGTAATGGACCTGTTATTGACAACTATATGGACTACAGTAGTAACGTGGTAGTAACGGACCTGTTATTGACAACTATATGGACTACAGTAGTAACGTGGTAGTAACGGACCTGTTATTGACAACTATACGGACTACAGTAGTAACGTGGTAGTAATGGACCTGTTATTGACAACTATATGGACTACAGTAGTAACGTGGTAGTAATGGACCTGTTATTGACAACTATATGGACTACAGTAGTAACGTGGTAGTAATGGACCTGTTATTGACAACTATATGGACTACAGTAGTAACGTGGTAGTAATGGGCCTGTTATTGACAACTATATGGACTACAGTAGTAACGTGGTAGTAATGGACCTGTTATTGACAACTATATGGACTACAGTAGTAACGTGGTAGTAATGGACCTGTTATTGACAATTATATGGACTACAGTAGTAACGTGGTAGTAATGGACCTGTTATTGACAACTATATGGACTACAGTAGTAACGTGGTAGTAATGGACCTGTTATTGACAACTATATGGACTACAGTAGTAACGTGGTAGTAATGGACCTGTTATTGACAACTATATGGACTACAGTAGTAACGTGGTAGTAATGGACCTGTTATTGACAACTATATGGACTACAGTAGTAACGTGGTAGTAATGGACCTGTTATTGACAACTATATGGACTACAGTAGTAACGTGGTAGTAACCTGTTATTGACAACTATATGGACTACAGTAGTAACGTGGTAGTAATGGGCCTGTTATTGACAACTATATGGACTACAGTAGTAACGTGGTAGTAATGGGCCTGTTATTGACAACTATATGGACTACAGTAGTAACGTGGTAGTAATGGACCTGTTATTGACAACTATATGGACTACAGTAGTAACGTGGTAGTAATGGGCCTGTTATTGACAACTATATGGACTACAGTAGTAACGTGGTAGTAATGGACCTGTTATTGACAACTATATGGACTACAGTAGTAACGTGGTAGTAATGGACCTGTTATTGACAACTATATGGACTACAGTAGTAACGTGGTAGTAATGGACCTGTTATTGACAACTATATGGACTACAGTAGTAACGTGGTAGTAATGGACCTGTTATTGACAACTATATGGACTACAGTAGTAACGTGGTAGTAATGGACCTGTTATTGACAACTATATGGACTACAGTAGTAACGTGGTAGTAATGGACCTGTTATTGACAACTATATGGACTACAGTAGTAACGTGGTAGTAATGGACCTGTTATTGACAACTATATGGACTACAGTAGTAACGTGGTAGTAATGGACCTGTTATTGACAACTATATGGACTACAGTAGTAACGTGGTAGTAATGGACCTGTTATTGACAACTATATGGACTACAGTAGTAACGTGGTAGTAATGGACCTGTTATTGACAACTATATGGACTACAGTAGTAACGTGGTAGTAATGGACCTGTTATTGACAACTATATGGACTACAGTAGTAACGTGGTAGTAATGGACCTGTTATTGACAACTATATGGACTACAGTAGTAACGTGGTAGTAATGGACCTGTTATTGATAACTATATGGACTACAGTAGTAACGTGGTAGTAATGGACCTGTTATTGACAACTATATGGACTACAGTAGTAACGTGGTAGTAATGGACCTGTTATTGACAACTATATGGACTACAGTAGTAACGTGGTAGTAATGGACCTGTTATTGACAACTATATGGACTACAGTAGTAACGTGGTAGTAATGGACCTGTTATTGACAACTATATGGACTACAGTAGTAACGTGGTAGTAATGGACCTGTTATTGACAACTATATGGACTACAGTAGTAACGTGGTAGTAATGGACCTGTTATTGACAACTATATGGACTACAGTAGTAACGTGGTAGTAATGGACCTGTTATTGACAACTATATGGACTACAGTAGTAACGTGGTAGTAATGGACCTGTTATTGACAACTATATGGACTACAGTAGTAACGTGGTAGTAATGGACCTGTAGACAGACCGACAGGAACAGCCTGACGAACTGAACTCAGAGATGTCACAGTGGTCTAAAACCCCTGATCCTCTCCTCTCCTCTCCTCTCCTCTCCTCTCCTCTCCTCTCCTCTCCTCTCCTCTCCTCTCCTCTCCTCTCCTCTAAAGCTGTAGATCTTCCTGTAGTAGCGGCTGCGCCATCTCTCTGCTCCTGAAGTGCCTGCTGGGTAGTTGTCGGAGCGTCATCTGTTTGATGATAACCACCAGGAACCCTGTCACCATGACAACCCCCAGGACCACGCCCAGGGTGTTGGCGAAGGAAGGCTGGTATCTGCCCTCCAGGGGGGTGGAGGGTGTGGGGGGGGAGGGCTCAGAGAGGAGGTCCCTAACCCGGGCTAGAGAACCATTGTTGGGGCGGGGCCGGACAGACAGGATGTGACACATGAGGGGGTAGAGGTCAACGGAACGCATGGAACTCTTCATGTAGTTCTGACGGAAGGCGGGGCCACGCGCCACGAAGACAGGGTGCATGCTGGGTAGGGTGTTGTCATAGCCGTGGTTACCCACTGTGAAATACAGAGAGAGAGAAGCGTGTTAAAACAGGATTAACACATTTAGAACATTAAAAACACACTTGGAACACGTTTACTGTTAATTACACGGTCATTGTGGACTGAATCCTAATATTGGTAACTCAAATGTCCAACTGACAGCCTAATGATTTGAACTTGTGAAAGTCTTAGTTATAATACTACTATCTCAAATTGGAATTTGGCAGGTTATGTGTTGTAATATTTCCTTACACATGTTAGTACCGGTTTTAGTTGACATAGTATTTCCTTACACATGTGTGGTCCAGTGGTTCTGTTCTGGGTGATGGTCCAGCCCTCCTTGGCCTCGATAATGATGGGCATGATCCTGTTGTTGTGACGGTAGTGGAAACGGTCAGGGATCTGTTCCCTCCTATACACCACCATGTTGGGATTGGCCTCCACCAGCGCACTATAAACCTCCTCTAACTTACCTACAGGACAGGTAAAACAGACAGTTACAGACTATTTCTCTAGGCAGGATCCTACCTTCTCTAGGTAGTATTCCCAGGATCCTACCTTCTCTAGGTAGTATTCCCAGGATCCTACCTTCTCTAGGTAGTATTCCCAGGATCCTACCTTCTCTAGGTAGTATTCCCAGGATCCTACCTTCTCTATGTAGTATTCCCAGGATCCTACCTTCTCTAGGTAGTATTCCCAGGATCCTACCTTCTCTAGGTAGTATTCCCAGTATCCTACCTTCTCTAGGTAGTATTCCCAGTATCCTACCTTCTCTAGGTAGTATTCCCAGTATCCTACCTTCTCTAGGTAGTATTCCCAGTATCCTACCTTCTCTAGGTAGTATTCCCAGGATCCTACCTTCTCTATGTAGTATTCCCAGGATCCTACCTTCTCTAGGTAGTATTCCCAGTATCCTACCTTCTCTAGGTAGTATTCCCAGTATCCTACCTTCTCTAGGTAGTATTCCCAGTATCCTACCTTCTCTAGGTAGTATTCCCAGTATCCTTCTTTCTCTAGGTAGTATTCCCAGTATCCTACCTTCTCTAGGTAGTATTCCCAGTATCCTACCTTCTCTAGGTAGTATTCCCAGTATCCTACCTTCTCTAGGTAGTATTCCCAGTATCCTTCTTTCTCTAGGTAGTATTCCCAGTATCCTACCTTCTCTAGGTAGTATTCCCAGTATCCTACCTTCTCTAGGTAGTATTCCCAGTATTCCTACCTTCTCTAGGTGGTATTCCCAGTATTCCTACCTTCTCTAGGTATTATTCCCAGGATCCTACCTTCTCTAGGTGGTATTCCCAGTATCCTACCTTCTCTAGGTGGTATTCCCAGTATTCCTACCTTCTCTAGGTGGTATTCCCAGTATTTCTACCTTCTCTAGGTGGTATTCCCAGTATTCCTACCTTCTCTAGGTATTATTCCCAGGATCCTACCTTCTCTAGGTATTATTCCCAGGATCCTACCTTCTCTAGGTAGTATTCCCAGGATCCTACCTTCTCTAGGTAGTATTCCCAGGATCCTACCTTCTCTAGGTAGTATTCCCAGGATCCTACCTTCTCTAGGTAGTATTCCCAGGATCCTACCTTCTCTAGGTATTATTCCCAGGATTCTACCTTCTCTAGGTAGTATTCCCAGGATCCTACCTTCTCTAGGTAGTATTCCCAGTATCCTACCTTCTCTAGGTAGTATTCCCAGTATCCTACCTTCTCTAGGTAGTATTCCCAGTATCCTACCTTCTCTAGGTGGTATTCCCAGTATCCTACCTTCTCTAGGTGGTATTCCCAGTATTCCTACCTTCTCTAGGTGGTATTCCCAGTATTTCTACCTTCTCTAGGTGGTATTCCCAGTATTCCTACCTTCTCTAGGTATTATTCCCAGGATCCTACCTTCTCTAGGTATTATTCCCAGGATCCTACCTTCTCTAGGTATTATTCCCAGGATCCTACCTTCTCTAGGTAGTATTCCCAGGATCCTACCTTCTCTAGGTAGTATTCCCAGGATCCTACCTTCTCTAGGTATTATTCCCAGGATTCTACCTTCTCTAGGTAGTATTCCCAGGATCCTACCTTCTCTAGGTAGTATTCCCAGGATCCTACCTTCTCTAGGTAGTATTCCCAGGATCCTACCTTCTCTAGGTAGTATTCCCAGGATCCTACCTTATCTAAGTAGTATTCCCAGGATCCTACCTTCTCTAGGTAGTATTCCCAGGATCCTACCTTCTCTAGGTAGTATTCCCAGTACCCTACCTTCTCTAGGTAGTATTCCCAGTATCCTACCTTCTCTAGGTAGTATTCCCAGTATCCTACCTTCTCTCGGTAGTATTCCCACCACGGGGCTCTTGTCCACCCAGGTGTAGAGGTCTCTGTCTAGGTATTGGTCCAGCTCGATCACCTTGTCCATGGACAACTGGGTCATGCCATGATCACTGGTCACAATCAGGTTCACACTCTCGTACAGACCTAGGAATGCAGTCAGAATAAAATTAATTAATTACATTTAATTGACCAATAATTAAATATTTATTTGATGAATTGATCAATTACATGCGTCTCTAGATAAATTGATTAATTTACATGTCTCAAGATTAGACCAGAGTTCCTATGTTATCTTCCTAAAGAAACAGACCGGCTTCGGTTCTATAGAGAGATACAGACCAGACAGTCTACATCAGTGGTTCTATAGAGAGATACAGACCAGACAGTCTACATCAGTGGTTCTATAGAGAGATACAGACCAGACAGTCTACATCAGTGGTTCTACAGAGAGATACAGACCAGACAGTCTACATCAGTGGTTCTATAGAGAGATACAGACCAGACATTCTACATCAGTGGTTCTATAGAGAGATACAGACCAGACAGTCTACATCAGTGGTTCTATAGAGAGATACAGACCAGACAGTCTACATCAGTTGTTCCCAAACATTTTATTGTTTTAAGGAACTCAGTCCGGCTTTCAACTTCCTCTTGAAAGTTGTAATAGTAGAATGCACAAGGTGAAATGTCTAAATTGGGTCGTGCATCATCAGTATTCCTCTTGTCATGTCAGTCATTTCAGACCTTAGAGAGATATTTATAACTTGTCAGAAATGTCCAGATCAACTTGCCCATGCCAGCTAACGTTTTCTAGCCCATAGATATTGTAGTAATGTTTGAGTCTCTCAAATATCACGAGTACACATTAGACATGGCAAAATGAATAGAACTGCAAGAACATATGTTTTTAAAACTGCAAAAGGTTCTCTGCACCCCAAGACAAAATGTGTAGAATTGCAGGAACTAAGCTTTAAAGCTGCAACATTTTCTCTCCGCCAAAAAGAGGGGCGTAAACAGTTGTGTCATGAACATTGCTTGTGTCCATAGAAACAGATGGACACAGGAGGGGATGTTCCAAATGCTGGAAGGGGGGCCTGAGAGAAACCATTTGCCACCCCTGTTCTACGACTATTGATATTGTATAATGTACATAGACAGTAGGTACAGACCCTTCTTGCGCAGCTCGTTGCGGAGGAAGCCGAGCTTGTCGTCTATATCAGCGATGACCACGTCCATTAGAGGGTTCTCTGGGCCCAGGTTGTGACCGCTCTCGTCAGGCTCCTCCCAGTATAGCACGCCAAAGTCCACACCCCCCTGCACAGACCCAACCCCCTCCCCTGGCCCCTCCCCCATCAGCCAGGCTACCATCGTCTCCACGCGCCTCTCGAAACTCACCGATGCGTTGTACGGAACGTAGCGTGACGGGTACGCCCCCCCGATCTCCACGTCCGACCCCGGCCACATCACCCCGCCGCTCCGCCCACCCTGCTTCTGATTGGTCACCCACAGAGGCTCTGCCCCAGCCCACCAGCGTGGCTCATAGGCGCTATGCGTCTCCATGGAGAAGGAGGCGTTAAGGTCGGGGTCGTACATCTCGTTACCCACGATGCCGTGCGTCTCGGCATGCAGCCCGGTGACCAGGGTGTAGTGGTCAGGGAAGGTCTTTGTGATGTAGGCGTTCTCAACCTGCTCAACTCTTGACCCCTCCTCCATCAGGGCGTGGAAGTTAGGGGTGGGGACACGGTCCACGTAGTCCCAGCGGAACCCATCGAAGGACAGCAGCAGCAGCTTAGACCGCTCCCCTCTGGTGGCCTGGTGGTTAGGATGGAGGGGGTGGCCTGGAGAGGAGAGGGTCATGTTAGAATGGCAACAGGCAACATAAAGCCTGCAACAAGAGGGGCCAACACTGCCCTGACAGGGATAGGCATGTATATGTAATAATATATATCTCTTGAATTTGCTACATGCTCCCTGCCCATCCTCCCTGGTCCTTGACCCTACCTTGGAGTCCATGGTGGTCCATCTGTAGGGAGGCCAGAGGCAGGGTCAGGGTTAAGGTCAGAAGCCATCCCAGATAGCAGCCTCCTCCTCTTCGTGAGCTGCAACCCAGCATTACGCTCCACAACACCACCCTATAATATACAGACTGCAGGATGGACTGGTTATGTTAGGATAATATTAGGATAATGATAATGGCTGTGTTCGTAAATTCAACCTGGAGTGCCAGAGTGCGCTCAGAGTGCGCTCTGTGCGTTCGTAAATGAAGAGCGTTGTCAAATTGTCCGTTTATAAATTAAGAGTGTTTCGCTCTCTGAGCATTCAGAGCGCACACACTGGACGCTCTGGCCGAGGAGTAGGGTTGATCCGAGCGTTCTGACCTCACAACGGCAGTCAAGCACCCAAGCTAACTGGCTAACGTTGGCTAGCTTGCTAGCTAGCTAATTCCTGACAAAAAAATGAGAGAACAGCTCACTCTGACCATTTTATTCGCCCTAGCAGAGCTGGTTAGGCTGTTTTCATGTTATCCAGAGCGTTGGGGACTGTAACACGCTGACTAGATCGACCATGCGCCATCGCATATAACACTGTGGTCCTCTGTAGCTCAGCTGGTAGAGCATGGCGCTTGTAATGCCAGGGTAGTGGGTTCGATCCCCGGGACCACCCATACGTAAAAATGTATGCGCACATGACTGTAAGTCGCTTTGGATAAAAGTGTCTGCTAAATGGCATATTATATAAAAATGGCATATTATATGATATGTTGATTTTGTCCATCCACACCAAACGCGATCAGGACACATAATACTATTGTAATTATTCTGCACTATAGCCTATTTATTGCCTTACCTCCATAACTTGCTACATTTGCACACACTGTATATATATTTTCTGTTGTATTTCTGACTTTATGTTTTTTACCCCATATGTAACTCTGTGTTGTTGTTTTATTGCACTACTATGCTTTATCTTGGCCAGGTCGCAGTTGTAAATGAGAACCTGTTCTCAACTGGCTTACCTGGTTAAATAAAGGTGAAATAAAAAAAATAAAAAAACACGAACTCTGAACCAACTATATTACTTTGGGGACAGGTCGAAACGCACGTAACATTCATGGCAATTTAGCTAGCTAGCTTGCTGTTGTTAGCTAATTTGTCCTGGGATATAAACATTGGGTTGTTAATCCACAGATAAAAGGGTAAACCGAGTTAGTTTCTAGCAATCTCTCCTCCTTCAGTCTTCTTCTTTGGACTTTATCTGGCGGTTGGCAACCAACTTTATGGTGCATTACCCCCACCGACTGGACTGGAGTGTGGACCTCAGTTCATCTTTCGATCACCCACGTGGGTATATGCTCCTAAAAACCAATGAGGGGATGGGAGAGGCGGGACTTGCAGCGCATCAAGCGTCACAAATAGAACCAAATTCTATTTTAGCGCCTGGCTACGCAGACGCTCGCGAGGAGTGTGGGTGCAATGATTGAATAGCATGTATGTGTACATTTATTTTGCGCGAGCGGTGTGGTCAGCATGTGAGCAGAATAACGCTCAACACCCGTTGAATATTGACCGGTGTCAGTAAACGTCGGCAAAAAAAACGTTATTAAATTGTTGCCAGCAGCACAGTTACATGCTGACCACACCTCTCACGTTACGTGCTCGAGCGTTGCAAAATAAATGTACACATACATGCTATTCAATCATTGCACCTACACTCCTCGCGAGCATCTGCGTAGCCAGGCGCTAAAATAGAATTTGGTTCCATTTGTGACGCTTGACGCGCTGCAAGTCCCGCCTCTCCCATCCCCTCATTGGTTTTTAGGAGTACCCACTATACCCACGTGGGTGATTGAAAGATGAACTGAGGTCCACATTTGAGTCCAGTTGGTGGGGGTAATGCACCATAAAGTTGGTTGCCAATCGCCATTTAAAAGTCCAAAGAAGAAGACTGAAGGAGGAGAGATTGCTAGAAACTAACTCGGTTTACCCTTTTATCTGTGGATTAATTGTCGGAGTAGAGGACCGTGTGCATTTCAGGTAAAATAACAACCCAATGTTTATATCCCAGGCCAAATTAGCTAGCAACAGAAAGCTAGCTAAATTGCCATAAATGTTTAATGCTTTTCGACCTGTCCCCAAATTAATATAGTTGGTTCAGAGTTTGTTTTGATATTTCAACTTGCATGTCCTGATCGCAGGCAAGCCGCGAGTGGTATGGTCAGCATGTCAGACGAGAGTGCTCTGAAATCGGAGTAGATAGCCAGAGGGAATTTAGGAACACAACCAAAGCATAACGCCTGCAATAGTAGGCACTGAGAAATACACAGTGCTATGAAAAAGTATTTGCCTCCTTTCTAATTTTCTCTACTTTTGCATATTTGTGATACTGAATGTTATCAGATCTTCAACCAAAACCTAATATTAGATAAAGGGAACATAAGTGAACAAATAACACAACAATTACATATTTATTTCATTTCTTTCATAAACAAAGTTATGCAACACCCAATTCCCCTGTGTGAAAAAGTAATTGCCCTCTTACACTCAATAACTGGTTGTGCCACCTTTAGCTACAATGACTCCAACCAAATGCTTCCTGTAGTTGTTGATCAGTCTCTCACGTCGCTGTGGAGGAATTTTGGCCCACTCTTCCATGCAGAACTGCTTTAACTCAGTGACGTGTGGGTTTTCAAGCATGAACTGCTCGTTTCAAGTCCTGCCACAACATCTCAATTGGGATTAGGTCTGGACTTTGACTAGGCCATTCCAAAACTTCCAATTTGTTGCTTTTTAGCAATTTTCATGTAGACTTGATTGTGTGTTTTGGATCATTGTCTTGCTGCATGACCCAGCTGCGCTTCAGCTTCAGCTCACAGACGGATGGCCTGATATTCTCCTGTAGAATTCTCTGATACAGAGCAGAATTCATGGTTCCTTCTATTAAGGCAAGTCGTCCAGGTCCTGAGGCAGCAAAGCATCCCCAAACCATCACACCACCACCATGCTTGACCTTTGGTATGATGTTCTTAGTGTGGAATGCAGTTTGGTTTTCACACAACCAGTTATTGAGTGTAAGGGGGCAATTACTTTTTCACACAGGGGAATTGGGTGTTGCATAACTTTGTTTATGAAATAAAATATGTAGTTGTTGTGTTATTTGTTCACTTATGTTCCCTTTATCTAATAATTAGGTTTTGGTTGAAGATCTGATAACATTCAGTATCACAAATATGCAAAAGTAGAGAAAATTAGAAAGGGGGCAAAATACTTTTTCATAGCACTGTAGTGCTATGGTGGATATAGGCAGTAGTGAGTGACCAGTAGTGAGTGACCAGTAGTGAGTGACCAGTAGTGTGTCTTCATGCACTTTGCTATGTACCCTTGTAGGCTTGTTTCCAAACACGTCGGTCACTTGCTACAGTAGCCTAGCCTATGTGCTTGGAGAAGAGACAGCTCCTAGTCCGGTGTTATTGCTACCGTGTCGAGAAGACAGCTCCTAGTCCGGTGTTATTGCTACCGTGTCCAGTGGAAATGATGTTGCACAACATGTCTATTATTGCCCTCTTTTGAATCTACAAACAACGACAATCTCCACGAAACGACTGCTAAAGCAAACCCACTCAAAGCTGCACGCATTAGGGCTACTTCTGCCGCACACAACATATTGCAACGAGATAAAAAACGACTTGACAGTATGACAGTTATGACGATGTAATGTAGCTAACTATCAGATACTGGACACAAACTACATCTAAATAACAGCGGTCACGTCGACCGACCTCCCACGGAATGTAACCAATATACCACTATGCCGTAGCTCGGTAGCCGGTCGGCTAATGCAAAATGCTGATATTATGACGTTCATCATCAGCTGTTAGCTACGAGCCTCGAAGCGACTGCTGTCTGTCAGTTAACAATAACACTGTCACGGGGAGACGTTCATATTCATGCATAATGGTCGAGATTGAGACGTAAAATGACAAAATGTCGTCGTTTTGGAATGCGGACATTTAAAAAGACTTAGCCAACTTAGCTGTCAACGTACCTTCTTTTCTGCTCGGTGCAAAGGGCTCTCTTTTCCTTCTACAGCACGGACAAATGCATGGAAGTCCCGTCCATATACAGCAGGCTCCAATTGCAAAGCACCAAATGTTATTCTATTCGGGCGACTGAATATTGGCTTATTGAATTAAATGTTAGCGTTATCGATGTGCATCAACTATAAAGGCTATGATGCAAGTGCTAAACGGGCTGCTGCTTTATAGTCTTGTCTGAAAACTGCAAGTAAAAAAAGCACCTGCCTGAATGACGTAATGGACGCTCTTCTTCTTCTTCTTCTTCTTCTTCTTCTTCTGTGGGTTTTATGGCTGACTACATCCAAAAGTTGTATTGCCGCCACTAACTGGACGGGTTGAAACCAAAAAATAAATAAATCCATAGTTAGTGATTCTAACAATCCACCCTAATAAAAATAGTACATTGTCAAAACAAACAAAACTCCCACTACTTCCTTCTTTTAGTTCTCCATATCTCCCTTTCCAGGCTCTAGGACCTGAGAAGGTGGTACGGCTTGTGATAATATTCCATGTCACTCCTTCGCTGTGAAATCTTTCAGCCCCAGGAACCGCTCCGCCGCAATCACAATGATTTCAATCTTCCTGGACCTTCTCTCCACCTTGGCAGTGCCATTTATCACCATTGCGATAAAGGCCACAAAGTCCACCTTTTTAACCTTTAAAATGTCAGGATCCTCTTGGTGTAAGACAACCCCTGCAGCCTGCAGTGAAGGCCTATCCACCACCATGGACTCTTCTGGTGCAACATTCAAACCCCTTTCACAGCTGCTGCATATGAAATGCTCTGGACAACCCTGACTAGGGCCACCTCATCCTCTTTCACCCTTGTGGGGCATCCAGAAGACGTGGCTTCATGATTCCTACCGCAATTATAACATGTCACATTGTCATCACTTTATAACACTTAATATGATCATTTCCACAACTTGGACATCTCGGCTTCTCCCTTCTGCAAACACTTTCTACATGACCAAAAGCTTTACAATGTTCACACTGCATTGTTCTTGGGATAAATGCTCTACATCTGTAGTTAATATACCCTAACCGCACTTCATTAGGGAGAGACTCCATTTCAAAAAACAAAAGAAACAGATAAACTCTTCACTTTTTCCCCGTTCACCACTCGATTAATCCGACGTGTTCCTCTTCCAAATCAACTTCCCACGAAACGCCAGATATAACCCCCTTAAGGGGTGCCCTGTTCCGAAGCGACACACACAACACTTCAAACTTATCAAATTGATTAAGACACAACACATGTTCCTTCTGATCTGCAGAAGCACAAAAAAACAAAACAAGCCTGCCTCTCGTGATCCTCACAGCCTTCACTTTGCACAGCACTTTCTCCACCAGTTTGGATATCTCAAATGGATTCTTCAAGATTGTTAATCCAAATCAAATCAAATTTTATTGGTCACATACACATATTTAGCAATTGTTATTGCGGGTGTAGCAAAATGCTTGTGTTCCTAGCTCCAACAGTGCAGTAGTATCTAACAATTCACAACAAAACACACAAATCTAAAAGTAAAAGAATGGAATTAAGAAATGTATAAATATTAGGACAAGCAATGTCGGAGTGGCATTGACTAGAATACAGTAGAATAGAATACAGTATATACATAAAATCAAATCAAATGTTATTTGTCACATACACGTGTTTAGCAGATGTTATAGTGGGTGTAGCGAAATGCTTGTGCTTCTAGCTCCGACAGTACAGTAATATCTAACAAGTAATATCTAACTATTTCACAACATATACCCAATACACACAAATCTAGTAAGGAATGGAATTTAAGAATATATACATAAATGGACAAGCAATGACAGAGCGGCATGGACTAAGATACAGTAGAATATTATAGAATAGAATGCAGTATATACATATGAGATGAGTAGTGCAAGATATGTAAACATTATTAAAGTGACTAGTGTTCCATTTCTTAAAGTGGCCAGTGATTTCAATAGGCAGCAGCAGCCTCTAATGTGCTAGTGATGGCTATTTAACAGTCTGATGGCCTTGAGATAGAAGCTGTTTTTCATTCTCTCGGTCCCAGCTTTGATGCACCTGTACTGACCTCGCCTTCTGGATGATTGCGGGGTGAACAGGCAGTGGCTCAGGTGGTTGATGTCCTTGATGATCTTTTTGGCCTTCCTGTGACATCGGGTGCTGTATGTGTCTTGGAGGGCGGGTAGTTTTCCCCCGGTAATGCGTTCGGCAGACCGCACCACCCTCTGGAGAGCCCTGCGGTTGCGGGCGGTGCAGTTGCCGTACCAGGCGGTGATACAGCCCGACAGGATGCTCTCAATTGTGCATCTGTAAAAGTTTGTGAGGGTTTTAGGTGCTAAGCCGAATTTCTTCAGTCTCCTGAGGTTGAAGAGGCTCTGTTGCGCCTTCTTCACCACACTGTCTGCGTGGGTGGACCATTTCAGTTCGTCAGTGATGTATACGCCAAGGAACTTGAAGCTTTCCACCTTCTCCACTGCGGTCCCGTCGATGTGGATAGGGGGGTGCACCCTCTGCTGTTTCCTGAAGTCCACGATCATCTCCTTTGTTTTGTTGATGTTGAGTGAGAGGTTACTTTCCTGGCACCACACTCCCAGAGCCCTCACCTCCTCCCTGTAGGCGGTCTCGTCATTGTTGGTAATCAAGCCTACTACTGTTGTGTCATCTGCAAACTTGATGATTGAGTTGGAGGCGTGCTTGACCACACAGTCATGGGTGAACAGGGAGTACAGGAGGCGGCTGAGCACCCACCCTTGTGGGGCCCCTGTGTTGAGGTGTTGTTTCCTACCTTCACCACCTGGGGGGCGGCCCGTCAGGAAGTCCAGGACCCAGTTGCACAGGGCGTGGTTCAGACCCAGGGCCTCGAGCTTAATGATGAGCTTGGAGGGTACTATGGTGTTGAAGGCTGAGCTATAGTCAATGAACAGCATTCTTACATAGGTATTCCTCTTGTCCAGATGGGATAGGGCAGTGTGCAGTGCGATGGCAATTGCATCGTCTGTGGAACTATTGGGGCGGTAAGCAAATTGAAGTGGGTCTAGAGTGTCAGGTAAGTTAGATGATCCTTAACTAGCCTCTCAAAGCACTTCATAATGACAGAGGTGAGTGCTACGGGGCGATAGTCATTTAGTTCAGTTACCTTTTGCTTTCTTGGGTACAGGATCAGTGGTGGCCATCTTGGAGCAAGTGGGGACAGCAGACTGGGATATGGAGAGATTGAATATGTCCGTAAACACACCAGCCAGCTGGTCTGCGCATGCTCTAAGGATGCGGCTAGGGATGCAGTCTGGGCCAGCAGCCTTGCGAGGGTTAATATGCTAAAATGTTTTAATCACGTCGGCCACGGAAAACGAGAGCCCACAGTCCTTGGGAACGGGCCGCGTCGGTGGCACTGTGTTATCCTCCAAGCGGGCGAAGAAGGTGTTTAGCTTGTCTGGGAGCAGGACGTCGGTGTCCGCGACGTGGCTGGTTTTCCCGTCATAATCTGAGATTGTCTGGAGTCCCTGCCACATACGTCTCGTGTCTGAGCCGTTGAATTGCGACTCCACTTTGTCTCTATACTGATGTTTTGCCAGTTTAATTGCCTTACAGAGGGAATAATGACACTGTTTGTATTCTTCCATATTCCCAGTCACCTTGCCATGGTTAAATGCGGTGGTTCGCGCTTTCACTTTTGCGCGAATGCTGCCATCTATCCACGGTTTCTGGTTTGGGTAGGTTTTAATAGTCACCATGGGAACAACATCCCCTATACACTTCCTGATGAACTCAGTCATCGTGTCTGTGTATACATCAATGTTATTCTCAGAGGCTACCCAGAACATATACCAGTCCGCGTGATCAAAACAATCTTGAATCATGGATTCCGATTGGTCAGACTAGCGTTGAATGGACCTTAGCACGGGTACTTCCTGTTTGAGTTTCTGCCTATGGGAAGGGAGGAGCAAAATGGAGTCGTGATCTGATTTGCCGAATGGAGGGTGCGGGAGGGCCTTGTAGGCATCCCGGAAGTTGGAGTAGCAGTGGTTGAGTGTTTTACAGTCAATGTGTTGATAGAACTTTGGTTGCGTTTTCCTCAAATTTGCTTTGTTAAAATCCCCAGCTACAATAAATGCAGCCTCAGGATATGTGGTTTCCAGTTTGCATAAGGTCCAGTGAAGTTCCTTGAGTGCCGTCGTGGTATCGGCTTGAGGGGGGATATACACGGCCGTGACTATAACCGAAGAAAATTCTCTTGGGAGGTAATACGGTCGGCATTTGATTGTGAGGTATTCTAGGTCGGATGAACAAAAGGACTTGAGTTTCTGTACGTTATCACAATCACACCATGAGTAGTTAATCATGAAACATACACCACCGCCTTTCTTCTTCCCGGAGAGTTCTTTATTCCGGTCTGCGCGATGTACTGAGAACCCAGCTGGCTGTATGGACGGGGACAGTATATCCGGAGAGAGCCATGATTCCCTGATGTCTCTCTGGAAGGAGATCCTCGCCCTGAGCTCGTCTACTTTATTGTCCAGAGACTGAACATTAGCGAGTAATATACTCGGAAGCGGTGGATGGTGTGCACACCTCCTGAGTCGGACTAGAAGTCCACTCCGAATACCTCTTCTCCGCCAGCGGCGTCTTGGAGCAGCCTCTGGGATAAGTTCAATTGCCCTGGGGGGTAGGAACAAAGGATCCATTTCGGGAAAGTCGTATTCCTGGTCATAATGTGGGTGAGTTACTGCTGCTCTGATATCCAAAAGTTATTTCCGTCTGTATGTAATAACACAAAAAACGTTCTGGGCTAATAATGTAAGAAATAACACACAAAAAAACAAAATACTGCAAAGTTGTTTAGGAGCTAGAAGCAGAGCTGCCATGTCTGTCGGCACCATCTTGCCATCCGATCAGCTGCTCCTCATTACCAAACCGTAGATTCTCATCACTGTACTCTACTTGGCTCCGTTTTCCATTCTCCTTGATTCTACCGCCATTAGATTCACAACCCAATTCAGCATCCGCTTCCGCCATCATTCCTCATAATGGATAATCTGTGATCATGCTTTCTTACACAAAACCTAGCTAGCTACATTTAAAGCCACCAAACTTTGGGAAACTGCCACGCTGCTCACGTTAATTTGCATTGCACAGACCAAGCTACAGTAAGACGAAGTAGCCAGATTTCAGACAGTGAAAACACTGCAGTTAGCTACGCTACATTTCCTTGACTAAAAACAACCAAGACCA